TGTCCTCATTTGTAAGTCGCTTTGGATAAAAGCATCTGCTAAATGACTAAATAAATAAATAAATATTAATGTATAAACGTTAATATAAATGTGAACATTATAACATTATAAACATTTAACATTGTAAATGTTTTAACGTATATTATTTTAATTATAAATACTGTTTTTAAAGGTATGCTAAAGTGTACTTCTTTTTTTTAACAAGGGTCTGTAAAGATTACATATTAATTTCTTCAAACAAAGGTGCAAACACCCACACACACCACACACACACACACACTCTCTCACCACACACACACACACACACACACACACACACACACACACACACATGCATGAAGATTCAGCTTTCATATGAGTTATTGTGAGACACTACAGTTTGGATATAAATGTACACTGACAAAAAAAAAGTACCATGCAGTAATTAGCTCTCGGATGAACATGCTAACCATTTAGATCCATACTATGTATCGAAGTACCATCACCATACCATAATACAGTAATGAAAGGGTAGTCAACAGTTTCAAACCACTTAAAAAAAAAAAAAAAAGCGGTGACTATCAGTGTGTGTGTGCCAGACAAATACCTCTCACCATATTTATCTGTATACTAAACACAGCTACAGTGAACGCTGCCATTCTGTGCTGAGTGCTGTTGTGGCACTGCTATTATATATTACAAATGTCAACTTTCATTTAATGTCAGTTTACTGAGGACAGGCCATTGCAACTGCATTTGTTTCTGAGCATGCTTGTACAAATGAAATGATACAATATAATTCACTGATAATACATATAATACAATATATATTGAACTTTACTAGTGTGTGTGTGTTGTGTTTGCAGCTGAAGAGCTAGTGCAGTGGTAAAGAGAGCATGCTTGCTTTTTTAATAATATAAAGTAAAATGCACATCTGATAAAGCAATAAGCTCACAATAATTAGCTGGTATAATTATTTATATAAGTACATTTTATTACATTACATAGTTGTAATCGACCAGTCTTCTTGTAGAATGTAATGCAATATATAATGTGATATTAATGTTGCAATTAATAGTTAATTGAATAGTTTAATTGTTAAGTTAACAGTTTATAGTTCATGCTTTGCCAAATCGTGTAATAGGCTATATTTAAATAGCTGACAAATAACAACCAATCCAACTGCACTAAATCTGAATTCGTCAATACATTCAATAACTCATGCTGAACATGTTGAAATTAACAAATAAACATTTTTTTTTTTTACAAATCTAACAGGTCATTAGTGTTTCATAGAAGGGTGGGAATCACCAAAATTAAATTCTACATAATTAAATGTGTTTTTGTCCATATTTAACCAATTTAGGTACTGCTGAATTTGCATGAATGGATATGGAGCTGTATAATATATTTTAATGATATTAATATATATTACACCATTGTAATTTTTATTTTCAGTTACAAAATCACGAAGGAATATATCGGGTATTTTCCAAACGTACAACTGCACATTGCTTTGATCATTTACTTCACAAAAATGTCCAGTAGAGGGCGTAATATTATTATTTAGTGGCGTTTTCCTACCTGTTGTTTTCTAAAATTGATCAAAAAATTAAAAGCCATAAAATCCACCAGTGCATGGGGCTAAAAGAGAGTTTATATTAATAGCATATGTTCTAAGTAAAATGAATGATATGCAACTACTAACTATATTTAAGCTGTATGATAGATAGATAGATAGATAAAACTTAATCGAAATAAAAAGTAACAAACAGCTTTACTGACCACGTGATGACGTAATTACGTCATGACGCACACGAATCACTGAATTGAAAGCGAACCACTCGAAAGAACCGATTCGCGTAAACGAGTCAGACTTCCCATCTCATTTTTTTTTTTAATTGCTTGAAGAACATAAATACCAAATAAATAACAGTAAGAAAAATCGTAATACAATTCTAAGAAGTCCAAATAGCAGCATAACAAAAAATACATAGATAAACAAAATAAACATAACAGGAAAAGTGTTTCTAATACAGAAAACAAAGACAATAGAAATACAAGACAATACAAGGGGCTTAATCATCAAAAAATACCTTCAAAAGATTACATAGTTTAAGGGCTTTTTTACCCATCTCATATTTGAGTTGTAACACAAGCAACGTGACTCGAGCAAACCCCCCAAAGGGCGTGGCTTGTTTTAACTACAACGAAGTCCACCAATCAGCGTCGAGACTAGAACCGTCTGTGCGGATCACAAACCAATCAGGTGAGAGGAAGGCGGGGCTTCACCGCGCTCGTCTGCTGTGCGGAGAATCAAACAGCTCGCTCACTAGAAGGAAGTGCATCTGAAGTGCCGCTGTATTTATTTTGATGCACATGAGCGTTCATCTCTTCGGGTAAAATAACGTAATCCCCGACATCAGCACAGAGGGGTTTCACCCGGTTGTATGCATCTCCCCGGTAACGTTACATGTACTGTAGCGGTAGAGGCTGTTTTCACCGGAGCAGCGTGGGTTAAGGTGGGCCTTGCCCGGATATCTGTCTGACAAGCGAACCAAAACCGATCCGGTACCCGCCTCAAGATAACCAGCGCACTCAGTCCTCCAGAGACTACACTTGGAGCCCGTTTGGACTATCACACACACACTAGCCAGATGGGTAAGTAAAGCGAAACATGGCGATTTGCAGATATCTGCTGAAGAATATGAACTCCTCATGATCTGTAATTAATATTGAACGAATTTACAAATGATAAATGCACACTAGTGAGTGTGTGAGTGGCTCAGGCAGTAACTAATGGTTTTGAGGCACAACCTGAGCGTGTTCACATTATGTGCTTTGGACAAACTTATTTTGAGAGCCCATCCTTCAGAGAGAGGCTGTGATGTAACGTTGCCATGGATTATTAACAAATGCACAACAGGACCACACATGCTCATCATCCTGCATCCTTCGTTTTTGGGCTAATTATATTCCTCTGGCTTGGTGAGATGATCACCGGTGCCTGAAGAAAATGAGTATTTAAATTTGCAGTGCATCTAGGAAATGAAGTTTGGCATTAATAACATGTCTCATATTTCTTAGACATCCCCAGTGCATCCTAGTCTTGTGTGATTGACAGCCTGTGATGTAATACTTGACTCAAATATGCGAACTAGATGCTGGGAGATCAGTGCATGTGTGGTGAACTGAATGTGCATGTCAAATTGATTCAAATGAATGTGAACAATCTGGATCATGAAACAGTAAGATGGTGAGTCGGCAGAAAAGGAGGTCACATATAAGCAGACATAAGCTAAATATTCTGATGGAGGGATGGGCTGCGGTGTGTGTTTGGGGCAGTGATTTTCAACCTTTTTTTTGTCTTATTTGCTCCAGCAGTAGGCACAAGTACCATTATTCGACAAAATCATAAATATGTTCGTATTAATCGAATTAATCGCAATTAATTGCATCCAAAATAAAAGTTTTTGTTTACATAATATATATGTGTGTGTAGTGTGTATATTTATTATGTCTATATAAATACACACACATGCATGTATTTAAGAAAAATATGTTATATTTATATATTAAATGTATTTATCTGTTATATAAATATATACATGTAAATATTTTCAAAATATATACATGCATGTGTGTGCATTTATATATGCATAATAAATAAACACAGTACACATACATATATTATGTAAACAAAACCTTTTATTTTGGATGCGATTAATCGTTTGACAGCACTAGTTCTTATTAGCTGATGTTATCATTTATATTATTATTAATATCATATGTATTCTGCTACGTTTGTCATCTATGCAAGTTTTAGGGTTTAAACGCAGTATTTTATTTTCTTTCGTTAAAGGGATAGTTCAACCAAAAATTCACCCTCATGCCATTACAGATCTGTATGGCTTTCTTTCTTGAAAAAAAGAAGAAGCTATTTTAAAGAATGTTCCTTTGACTTCCATTTTATGAACAAAACGCTGACAGATTTTTCAAAATATCTCATATGATATGAAACAGACATTGCAAGTTTTACTGATTTTTTACTGAAAAGCTTTTATTTTCATTACAGATTACAAAGTAAAACTGTAAAAAAAATGCATGAATGAATAATTCACAATATGATCAGTAACATGCATCAAGAAAATAAATAGGATCAATTCTGAGATCATGCCGACTTGAAAATAGAGCTGAAAAAAAAGTGAGATTAATCAGTTAAAAATTTTTTTTGTTTGTTTTAAGAGTCGGCATGAAATGTAAATTCACCTATTTTCTGAATGCATGTTTTTAATGTTATTGTGAATTATTCATCCATGCATATGTTCTTTTTTTGATAATTCTTAATCAGAATATCCTAAGTTGGACTTCTGGTGAAAACGACAGACTTCTTTCTGGTGACTTCTGGTGCCCGCCCCTCTCTTACGATCGACTGTAAGCTTGCATTCAGATCTGCCTCCATCCAATGGACAGAACCAAATTCCCACCCGAAATTTTTTTCTGCTACACTCAAAGGAACGTCACAATACAGTAGCCAAAACTGCTCTAATAATACGACCATCTCTGGAAAAGGTCTGTTGCTACTTGTGCCACTACAAATGTGAAGCCACCTCAACAACCAGTCAGTCAAATGTCACTTTTATGGAGGAGCGCTTTCCTTTTTAATCTTTTAAAACTCTGCTAAAATCTGCTAAAATCTCTGATAACAAGTATCCATATATTTCTTCGTATACATCGGAAAATGTAAACTGTTTAAAACTCACTACAGATATGCATTGTATGTTTATTTATTTAATTCATTGCATTGTTTTCCTTTTAAATAAATTAGTTAAATATAATCTAATGTTAAGTGTATAATGTTTATTAAACAGCTGTTCCACCCTTTTAAAGGAATAGTTCGTTTGGCTAGCTTTAGCTAACATGGGCACAAACACAGTTGTCTGTAAAGTAATAGCCTAATTGTCCATCCTGCCACTAACCATTAATTGAATGAAAAACACTTATTTTCATTAAAATAACACATTTTCGAATGCTTACCTTGTCTAAAAGCGATTTCCTTGGGCCACGGACCGTCTTCACACTCGAAGCGATAATGGCGGATGGCAAAACGCTGGCTGGCGCGAACAAGGAGTTAGTTGATGTGACGTCATGTGGTCACATGACATGAAAACTTCTGGTTTAAAGTAAAAATACTACTCAAGTCAAATTGTTGCTTTTAATTTGTTCTAGGGGGTTCGTTATTTGCTTTAAGGCAAACTGAACAAAACAGGTTTAAACCAGAAACCATGATTTTCACTTAGTCCAATGTAAAAATGCACTTTAAATGAACAACACAGTAGTTTCACTTTTTTCAGTGCATGTTGTTCCAAACCTGTATAAATTTCTTTCTTCTGTTAAACAATAAAGAACATATTTTGAAGAATGTTGATAACTGAACAGTTGCTGGTATCCATTGACTTCCATAGTATTTTATTCCCACATATATAGATGTCAATGGGTACCAGCAACTGTTCAGTTACTAACATTCTTCAAATGATCTTCTTTTGCGTTTAATAGAAGAAAGAAACTCATACAGGTTTGAAACAACATGAGGGTGAGTAAATGATGGCAAAATTGTTATTGAAAAATGTTGTGTGAATTATTCCTGTATTTTAATTTAAATGTGTGCATTTTCTGATGATATATCAAAATCGTCTTCCATTGTGATGACCTGTACTTCTACATATCTTTAGATCATCGCAGTGCCAGTGAACACATCTGCAATCTCTCTGCACTGTGTAAATAATGAGTGACGTATACGCGCGACAGATTGCTTCCGCACATATCATAGATATGTATAGATGCCCTATTCGACCGCTCCAGATACGTTGACGCGTCTGCCATTTTGGAACGTATCGTGGCCCATAGAAACAGTCACTAATGAGGCACCTACTTATATATCTATGTCTACTATGCCAGAGCATGTACACGCGTCACGCGCCGGATGAGACATGATGAGATTGTGAACACGCTCAGACATTGCGCGTAAAAAATGTCAGAGATAAAAAATGATATAAATACTGTTCAGTTTCTTGCACAGACCGATCGTTTCGTGTCTTACGCCCTCAATGTATCGTCACGAGCCGCAGGGTTTAATTTGGTTTTGTCTATGTATGTTGTTTTTTTTTTTTACTTTCGAAGCCATGGAGCCCATTGACTGCCATTATAAGACTGATAGACTGCAACGGTTTGAGTTAAAAATCTTCATTTGTGTTCATTTTTGGGTGAACTATCCCTTTAAGGTAATTCATTTTGTTTGCACGCTACTATTTTGGCCGAGTTTGGTATAATTGCAACATATTAATTTACACCAAAAGCGTGTTTGTCTGGATTCTGTTACCCCCAACTGCAGTTTTTTATTATTTTAACATATGAAAATTTTTAAGTAATTTTAGCTGTTTTTAACAATTTGTCATTCAAATTCACTTTCCAAACGAACACAAAGAAGACACAACCATCTTGTGTAGAAAATTCCACCAAATATTTATTTATTTTTTGCAGAAAACACTTTTTTGTTTGATTTTATTTTTAATGAAACTTGGAGCTGGTTTAATTAGTATTTTTGTATACGATAGTAGTTATGCTTTATGCAGGAGTATGATGTAGTTAATTTGCAGCTGAAAGTTCTTGGGAATTTGTGCTTTTATTTCTTTTTTCTAGACTAAATATAAAGTAGACGGGTGATTTGACGATAGATCTGACTCATTGTCTCTGTTGGCCTTTATCTCGACTTGATTTGTTGGAGTCCGTTAATGGAACGAAGGCTTCATTGGCTTTAACCATCCCCAGAGTGACAAGTATATTCGAGAATCACCATTCACACTTTAATTGGCTTCTTTCTGCCCTTGTCATATTAGTTGAGCTCTTCTACCTATTAAAAGAGCTTCCAATCATGACAGATGTTTCTGTGAATCAAACAGTAGAGCATGGCACCTGCCAAACACCAAGGTCATGGGTCAAGTTCCCAGATAATGCATGAAAACTTTGGATTAAAGCATCAGCAAAATGAGTGTAGTATGATGAGTTATGGGACCCGAGATCTGGACTCGACCCTGTTAATCTCAGTGCTTAGTGCTTACTGTCAACCCTTGCACTGTCTTAATGAAGTTAAGGCAAAAAGGCAATAACTTGGGTTTGTCTTACAACATACAGATTGTAAGACAAACTTTTTTATTAGTAATTCTGTATAGTCGTCAAATTAATGCTGTAAAGCATGAAATAACTCAAAAACAAAAACAGAACAGTTTATTGAACTATTAGACAAAACATTGAAAAAAAATCTAGAAAAAAGTTTGCATATGTTTTTTATTGAGTATCATATTTGATACATAAGGGTTTTATGGCTCATATATATAGTATGATATAAGAGAATATGGAGCGCATACTTGAGGAAAAAAAACATATATATAATCTTTTATTTAGAGGCCCAAACTGAGCAAAATTATGGAATAAGGTGCAGTTTTTGATATTAATATGGCCATAAATTAAGAAGAAATTATGATAGCTTGTTGAGTAAATCAAATGCATGTAAATATAATGTCACTATACTCAAAAGCTGCTTTAAACGCAAAGGATGGTCACACCAAATGTTGCTTGAATTTAGTTAATAGAAGTTAATTGATAAAGAAAATCTATTTACGACATTATTTTTGACAGTATCCTCATTTTACAGCATTTGTTTCTTGAAGCGTCTTGGAGACGCTGCCACAGTTCTTCTGGATTTAGTCTGTCTCAGTTTGTTCTGTGTCTTCATGTCATTCAATGCAATACAATGATGATAGAGAGATGAACAAATAAATGTTCCTCAAAACTGATGTTTTATATCTGATACTCACAAAAGAATACATTTTTTATTTGATTTTTTTAGAAAATGATGTTATTAGTTGTATATAATATAATTGATTTGGGCTCCTTTAGAACACCGTGCCTTATAAAAATATGTGTTTTGTCGTTTCATGATTTTGTGCAATTGTAAACTATTGAAGAGATAAAGCTGTCCATTATTTCTCGTCTATCAGCGGATAACCTGAGCGAAGCCCTGAAGACGCTGAAGCTCTTGTCGGCAGACAGCACTTCAGACAGTGTCGAGGGCTGCTTGGACTGCTTGCTCAAAGCTTTGGCCCACAATAGTAAGTCTGCATGTCTTTTATATAGCTGTTCATTTTCCTCATTCCTTACAGCATCAGCTGAAATAAAGAATAATTGAAAAGGGCAGGAGCCTTGAATTAAGGACAGCTTAGGCCTCTTATGTTTTATATTCAGATTATTCAAGGATGCAGGATTGAACTAAATCCATTTTGTTGATAAAAACCTTGCAGCTATTTTTTATTCTGCTGTGTCACATTGGCAAGAAAAAAGTAGCCAACTGAAAACGTGATTAAAAATAAAATAAATGGAAAGCGTCAGTTAAAATGCAATTAAATGATCAAGCTTATTGTTTCACTAATGACGTTTTCAGGATGCTGCAGTATTACTTGAATTCTGCCCAGCTTATTCTTGCCAAAAAATGCCAGTTTAGACCGGAAAAGACTGTCTGATTAAGTTTTATGTATCATTTAGTGGTGAGATTAGAGATCATTTTGAGAAAAAAGAAAAATAAATAATTATATATAGAAAAGAAGTGAGTAGACTTTGTGATCGGTATTTCTGTCTGTCCAAAAGTAATAAACATCACTACATAAACACAACTCAGAAAACAAATTAGAAAATATGGTTCTGCTTGTGGATGTCTAGTTTATTTAAAAGACTGTAAGTTCAGTCCTTAGTTCTGCTTATTGTATCAACCTTGTAAATCAGTGTTATTTTAGTATTATTATATACTGTTATAGTATTCATTAACATTTTAAATTAATTTTAATTTTAGTATGTTTGAATATTTTTTAAGTGCTTTTGTCATTTTTATTAGTTTTTAAAATATTTTTCTTTAATTCTATTCTATTTAATTTCAGTTTTATTAATTGAAATACTTCAACTTTTATTTCAGCTAATTGCCAAGGCAACATTTTACATTTTCTTTTAAGTTTTTAAAATATAATGTTTATAAACACGCTTTACTAAATCAATACTAAATTAAGCACGACCCATTTTGCAAAAGTCACGTTACACGATTTTACTGATTTGCACGTGAAATTGGGCTTTTATGGAGGAATGAAAGCGTAGCGCTGGAAAAGGTGCAGAATGGGGCGCAATAATCGTTTTATCTAGATTATTGTATTTTCATAACCGTTGGAGGCCAAAATCGAAACTGTTATTCGATTAAGTTTCAATTGTTCACAGGTTCAATATGGACCTGTCAGACCAAAATCACCATATCTAGACTAGATGTCATGTGTTTTATTTCAATAATGCTTCACTTCCTGGGTCACTGCTTGTGGACTGAATCTGAAACCTTTGTGTTTGCAGGTCAGATCCTTTCTGATAATCATATAATTTACTGATGTTCCTCGCTCTGTTTTCAGATGTTGAGACCAGTGGAAAGATCCAGGAGATGGGTGTTCTTGCCATGATACCCGCTCTTCTGTCTGCGCAGAACTCGTGTACACCAAAAGTAGCCAACATCATTGCAGAGGTGGCCAAAAATGGTAAGTGCTCCTGCATCGCCAGTTGTTGCTTCCTACATCATTTCGGACTTACTGACACCTAGTGGTGTGGATGCAGCTTCACGCAAAAGTCAACAATGGCATAAACCAGCCTATGCTGACAAGGAGATACTCATATTTACAACACAATACAGTCCAAACCATTGTCACTTCCCATTGCCACCACGGGTCGACAGTGGGATGTGTAGGGATGTTTGGAGGACTGGAAAAGGAGGAAGTATGAGGAAAAAGGAAAAGGGAGGAAAGGAATCAGGAGGAGGAAAGAAGAGGGAAAAAGAAGGAGAAGGGGAAAGAGGAAAGAAAAGGGAGGGGAGAGGGAAAGGGGAAAAGGAGGGAAAGGAAAGAATCCTGAATCCTAAGGCGGGTGTGCTAGGCTTGCGTGCTGGACGTCCCTGTCTTCCCCCAGGGTTTAAATGTGGGTATCCTTGTCAGTGGGCAAATATTTTCATTATTATTATTATTATTATTATTATTGATATTATTATTATTGGGAAGAGGAGGAGGGGGAGGGGACGAGGAAGGAAAGTGAAAATACTTCACAAAGAAATGAATACTCTCAACATCCACAATACTCAACACTCCCAACCTAGATATAAATGTGAGTTCTTTCAATTCGATAATCCAGCCCTCCAATGAAGCTAATTGAAAAGTCCTGCTATAATAGTATCCCAATGATAATAAAATAACACTGGGCTCGTGTTATGCCATTTATTTAGGCTACTGATATAACTGAAATCTACATTTTGCGCGTTCATGATTTTTTCCCTTTTTTCCCCTCAAAAGTACTGTTCAGTTCTTCAGAGATATATTTTTGTACTGAAAAAAAAAACCCCTGAGTGAATCTTTAAGAAAGATTTAGGTAATAAAAATAACTGCCATTGTAATAATCAGTGTCTTCATTTTTGTGAGTTCAGAGTCTTAATATACTGCCTTTATTTCACTAGCCTTAGTACAGCTCTATATTATCATTCCTAATAGAAACCTGTTTTAAAATAATAAAATAAACCTGTTTTGCCACTCAGGTCTGTTTGTTTGTGTCTGCTATTCTCTGCTTCTTCTCCCCCAGTTTCACTGATGCTGCAGTCAAGTCTGTGGCCGTTCATGCATGTCTTTATTACTGCTATTGACATGTAAGCTATAAGATCAGCGCGGCAGAACCATTCGATCTCAAAACAGACAAACAGATTAAAATTGAGTTGACTCATAAACACACCGCACTACGCGTGATGCAGTCCTGAGATAGGCAGTGCTATATGAGAAAATGAATATTTATAACTGCAGTAAGCACTTTTAATTTACTACTCTTGATAAAATTTCATTTTTCTGCATCTAACAATTGTTTTGAAAGTACAGTAAGTGTCAATTATTGCTTTAATTTATCAATTAAATGGCTAAAAAAAAATAAAATAATAATATGTGAATGTATGCTGTACAGAAAAGGAATTTTAAATATAAATGTGTTATTAATATTAATATTATATATTAATATTAGTGCTGTCAAACGATTAATCGCGATTAATCGCATCCAAAATAAAAGTTTTTGTTTACATAGTATATGTGTGTGTACTGTGTATATTTATTATGCATATATAAATACACACACATGCATGTATATATTTAAGAAAATTATGTTACGAAATATATTTAATATATATAATATATATTATATTTATAATATAAATTATATGAATATAAATATATACATGTAAATGTTTTCAAAATATATACTGTATGTGTGTGTATTTATATATACATAATAAATATACACAGTACACACACATATATTATGTAAACAAAAACTTTTATTTTGGATGCGATTAATCACGATTAATCGTTTGACAGCACTAATTAATATTAATTGCATGTAGGTTTTTTCATTAAAAACATGCATTACTTACATTACATGATTTAAATATAAAAGTCATCATTTTTATTAGCGGTTTTATTACACTGCCTGTAAAATATTTTAAATATGTGAAGATTTTAAAGGGATAATTCACCCAAAAATGAAAATGAAAATTCAGTCATCATTTACTCACCCTCGTGTCGTTTCAAACCTATAAGACTTTCGTTCATATTCAAAACACAAATGAAGACGTTTCTAATATTCTGTCCACCCATTAAAAGTCTAGGTAATTAACATTTTCAAGCTTCAAAAAGTACATAAAGACATCATAAAAATAATCCATATGAATCGAGTGGTTTAACCCAAGTCTTCCGAAGAAAAACAACCGTTTCATATGAGCAACAGATTTAATTTGTCATTAATGTGATTAGTGCTGTCAAAAAATTAATTGCGATTAATTGCATCCAAAATAAAAGATTTTGTTTGCATATGTATGTACTGTGTATATTTACTATGTATGTATAAATTCACACACATGCATATATTTAAGAAAAATGTTATGTTCATATATTAAATACATTTATATATAGCAAATTATGAGTATAAATATATACATGTAAATATTTTCAAAACATACTGTATGTGTGTATTTATATATATACTTAATAAATGTACACAATACACACGCACATATTATGTAAACAGAAACTTTTATTTTGGATGCGATTAATTGTGATTAATCGTTTGACAGCACTAAATGTGATCAAATATTGTAAATGTGTTTGAGATTCAATTCTTTATATTTATATAATATCATAATATTTATAATATTTCACATGTATTTTGCTTTTATGAGTGTACCATTTGCCAGTTTTGACTGTTTTTGGCAGCGTTATTCTCCGTGGATGTCTGTCTTTTCAAAATCCAATCACAGATGTGATGTTAACAGGGTTGAATAACAGCTTGGCAGACTAAACTAGAGTACAGGAGAGCTTTCTGTGTGGAGCTGAGAATCTATTTTTCCTTTTTGCTTTGTAGACGTAATTTCAGTCTGTTTTTGAACTCTGTTTGACAGAACCAGTCATTCGCCGTCAGATAAGTTACCTCGTTTATGCAACAGCAAATCAGCAATTACATTTATTGTGTGAACACATTCTGTGTAATTCTGTGTTCTTTGATCAGCTTAATTAGTCTCTCTGATCACTGGTTTTTAAGTACTAAATCTTTAAAAATATATAAATAAATAATTGTTATTTTTTAAATTTGATTTAATTAACTTTATTAAATATTTACAAGGCTCTGGTATTTACCAGCCTGGTTTACATTACGCAGGCTCAACCTGCAGTCCTGCAGAGTCGGTGTGCTTCATCACCTAAAGGTTTTAGTCTAATTACACAAGTGTTTTTTTAGAGCACACTTCAGACAGATAGAACTGGGGTTTGGAAGTGTATGGAGAGTGCCTGAGATAAAAAGGTTAAAATAATGAATGGCCTTTTAGCAGTTTGCTAGGTAGCTAATGACAGTGGCCTGCTGGTGTGCCAGATCTCTGGCAGATCCTGCTGGCATTCGGCTGTCAGCGTTCCTCGGGGAACATCTGCGTTTCATCTGCAACGTCTCCAGCACTTTCTAACAGGAGCAGGATATATTTTAGGATTTAAGTGATGCATTTGCTACAGTACGGTTTACTGCGCTGTTACTGTGGTGCATTGATTATGGTAATTCCTTAGCACCTGTGTTGTTGTTGTTGTTAACTAAAACTATTAAAAATGGTTAAATAAATAAAATTAAATTTTTTATTTTAAATGTGACTTCTTTTTTTAATTTAATTTAAGATGTAATTATATTAATACTAAATATATTAAAATGTATTAATTGAATTAAAGCTGAAATAAAATCTACATATTAGGTGAAACACTTGAACTTGTGCACTAAACCTTCCATAAGAAGCCATTATTTACATAATTTCTCTGGAAATTCAATCATTTACAAACATTTAAACATTCAAAATATTAAATATTTTTTGTTTAGTTCAATTTTTTGAAAATGTGACTGATGCTGCTTGTCAGTGTTGTAATGTTGACTAAAATGAAAACGTTTATTTATTTACGCTAATTCAAATAAATCTGAAATAAAAAAGTATATAAAGAGTAGATTAAAAAAATGACATTTAAAATCTTAAATGTTGCATTGGCAGCTAACTGAAACCTGAAAGTTGAAGTACTAAAATTACTCAAATTAAAACTGAAATAAAAATAAAATAAAACTAAAAAGAAATATTTAAAAGCTAATAAAAATGACAAATGCACAAAACAAAATTACTATAACTTGTACCAAATTAAAAAGAAAACTGAAAATAGAAAAATAAAAGCTAATTTAAAATATTAGGATACCAAAATAGTAGTAAATAACATGATACAGTGTACTAAATGATTATTACATTCATATACCATGGTAACCTAAAAGAGAACTGAGGTATTACAATCTAAAACATGGTAATACCTCGGTACCATTTACATCAAAATATCTAGTCATCAATTCTAAAAGAATACAAACAAATTGCTACTTGGATGGAATAAGAATTAAGATAAATTACTATGCAATAGTAACATTTATCCAGTAGGATTTTAATTGATTGTTAGAGGATTCTTTTTTTGATCCCTTTATGGCTCAAAATGTTGGTATTTCCTAGTGGTGTGCAATATCATACCGTCCACGATAATACCGGAATAAATTTTTACATGATAAAAAAAGTGTCATATCGCGATATCAGTGATATAGCAACGCGATGACGTATGGCGGATATACATTCCCTAGCGCACACAACAACAAGTGAAATTGAAAGTGACGTGACATGTGGCCAAGTATGGTGACCCATACTCAGAATTAGTGCTCTGCATTTATCCCATCCAAACTGTACATTCACTCCCCCCACCTACAATCCCTGCCGGTACGAGACTCGAACCAGCAACATTTGGGTTACGAGTCCGACTCTAACCATTAGGCCATGACTTCCCCGACAACAACAACAAAGACAACAACAACACCACAAACCCAATAGGTGTGTTCAACTTGAAGCAGCGCTGCGCAGACTGATCGGTGTATGACATTAAAGTATTGTGAGAGTGGTTCTAGAGCATATTCGAGCACACACTCTTACCTTCAAAAATAGGTGAGGCGCCTATCTTTAGCGAAGCAGCGCGGAGAGCCGCTTCTGGGACGCTTCTGAAACGTGCCGCGGCGCCGCTGGTGTAAACACAAGCATTGACTAGAGTGGCCGTGTCGGAGCCGTAACGCACCGCAGACGCGTGCAGTGTAAATAAGGGGTAAGTCACTCTTGTGGTATTTTGACGTCGTACACCGATCGATCTGCTTCAAGTCGAACACACGTGCATAAAGAGCACTAGTTGAATCTACCACACAGATATCTACTGCACAGATATACTGATTTTAAAGGATAAGCTCACTTTTAGAATAAAAATTTCCTGATAATTTACTCACCCCCATGTCATCCAAGATGTTCATGTCTTTCTTTCTTCAGTCGCAAAAAAAAAATTTTTTTGAGGAAAACATTCCAGGATTTTTCTCCATATAGTGGACTTCAATGGTGGCCAAAGATTTGAAAGTCCAAATGCAGCTTCAAAGGCCTCTACACGATCCCATCCGAGGAATAAGGGTCTTATCTAAAACAGCTAAAACCAGCCTAAGCTGGTTGCCTGGTCTTAGCTGGTCAGCAGGCTGGTTTTAGAGGGGTTTTGGCCACTTAAAACCAGCTACTTCCAGCTTAAACCAGCTAAGACCAGCCAACCAGCTTAGGCTGGTTTTAGCTGTTTTTTTTTCACCAGGGTATAGCGAAACGATCGGTCATTTTCTTAAAAAAATTTAATATTTATCCACTCTTTAACCACAAATGCTCACGTGACATAGACGACCCAGTGTTTACAAAGCGAACATGCAAAAAAAAGTCATTGCCCTTTACAAAAAAGGTAAAACAGCGATGTCAGATGATTTTAAAGTTGGAGGAGAAAATGAGATGGAGTTTTTAACCGAAGTACAAAGACGAAGAACTAACAGCGCATGACCTTTATAACAGGATTGCGTGATGTGTGAAGACGCATATCGCAGAGCTAGAGCAAGCCGAGCATTTGTGGTTAAAAAGTGGATAAATATATATATTTTTTTCCAGAAAATGACTGATCGTTTCGCTAGATAAGACCCTTATTCCTCGGCTGGGATCGTGTAGAGGCCTTTGAAGCTGCATTGAAACTGCATTTTGGAAGTTCAAATCGCTGGCCACCATTGAAGTCCACTATATGGAGAAAAATCCTGGAATGTTTTCCTCAAAAACCTTAATTTCTTTGCGACTGAAGAAAGCAAGACATGAACATGGATGACATGGGGGTGAGTAAATTACAGTGTTGGGAAGTAACTAGTTACATGTAACTAAATTACGTAATTTAAAATGTTAATGATTACAAAAGGGGGTTACATCTGATTTTTGTTTTCACACACATACAGATTTGATTGATTTCTTTCATAAATTGCAGTGAATGCACTAATATATGAGACGCCAATGTTTCAGTTTAGGACACAGAATAGGACACGTGCTTATTCGATAACTGTTTTATTTCCTATTTGGGTATATATATATATATTTAGATTAACTGTTTTTTCCAAGACATTGTTAGATGCCAGTGTTTTCTGTCATAGCTATGCACAGATTTGATTTCAAAAACAGTATCATAGCTACTAAACTATTTCTTGTTATGGTTTTAAATCTGTATTTAACCTCAGAATGATCTCAAAGTAAGTCTGATTTTGTGGTGGCTGTGCTTTAAAATTAAATTATTATAATCTTAATTCAAGGGATGAAGGATTTGGAAAGTGATAGTAATCAGTGTTGAATACTACTGTAAGGTTAACCCTGCCTGCTTTACATGTTTGAAAATGATTAACAGTTGAAAACATTAGAAATGTAGAAAAGTAATCAAATGTAATCAGTTACATTAATAAAGTAATTGAAATAGTTACACTACTTATTACATTTTAGATAGGGTAGCTTGTAATCTGTAACCTATTACATCTCCAAAGTAACCTTCCCAACACTGGCAAATTATCAGCAGGTTTTTATTCTGGAAGTGAACTTGTGCTTCAAGTCAGTCAGTGTTTATCTGATTGAGCTGAAATGGTTTTATTTCTCTGCAGAATTCATGAGGAGCCCGTGTGTGGAAGCAGGACTCATTCCTCCTCTGGTTCAGCTGCTAAACTGTAAGGACCAGGAGATACTGCTCCAGACGGGACGAGCCCTCGGCAACATCTGCTACGACAGCCGTAAGTGCCCATTATCGCTCCCTCAGCCTTTTTCCGGCCCCGCCGCATCTACTGTGAGGTATCTCCGAGTGTCTGGGATGATCTGAAGGGGAGCTGCTGCTACAGTTGTCTGAATGAGTGACATGAGGAGGGCAGAGCAGCTGATAGCTGAGTGAGAAGATGTCTAGCTAAACTTTTCCTGCACGTTTTCATTTCACACATGGTTTCCAAAGGTAATTGTACAAGAGCTTATACCATTGCTGAATTCTTGAATCTGATTGGTTGATGTCCCAATAGTGTTGGGCGATATGCTCAATTCACGATATTATCGTGTATTATTATTATCGTGCTAATTTATTTAATTATTTATTTACTTAGTTTCAAAGCCGGAAAGTGAACCAACTCCAGCGTAAGGCTAAAAGCAGCCTAATGTTTTTAATATGACTGAATTTGTATTTAACATGATTCAATAGAAACATTGTAAGTTACTAATCATAAGGCTTACATTTCCTCAGTTATTCAAAAAGCAGCTACAGAAAACGAGCAATGAACCAAAGAACATCATCACAAGTTCAGTCTAGCGCGCGTTTATGTACTTCATGCACATTTTATGATATTATGCACATATTATGCACATTGTTGTTCGTGATGAGAGAATTTGCGAGAGAGCAATGAACAGTGAGCGATGACTCATCTGAACGCATCTGATTGGCTGCTGCATTCATAAGCTTAACATAATCGTGTGTGATTGGTTATAACGCACAACATTGTAAAAAACATGGAAAAAGAAATATGATGGAACAAATAAGCCCTAATATTAATTAGATAGTATTACTAGCCTAATAATAATCGTCAAAGGCATCAGCCACAGGCAATATCTCTAACTATCGTCGATACACGATACTATCTATCGGCACACTACGTCCCAATGTGAATGTGGAGGAAGACTAATAATTTGACTCTAGATTATTGAATTCATGCACACTTTCGCATCAATAATTAACTAGTCCATTGGTAATTATTTTGTACATGAATCATATTGATGACCTAGCAGTGGTTGTTTATATCACATTTTTTCCTCCCTTCGTTGTAGAGAGAGTGTACAAATATTTTATGGCTGTAATGCGTTTTGCTTTATTTGCCCGCTCAGGATCGAGTGATTTTGACTGATGGAAAGACGAGGACGCAGCCATTTTTCTGCAGATTTATTTAATTAATCCAGTGACTCCCATCTGTGGCTATTTAAACCTATAAAACATCAATCATATCTTAAAAATTAGTTTCTCAAAGTTTGATTTTTACTCTATTTGTGTTTATATTAGTGTACTACTATGTACTAACATTGACAAATTCACTTTTAATTTGTATATACAATTTAAAATTTACAGTTGAAAAAAATTGCTGACTCATACGTCACTGCATAGATTGTTTTTCAATCAAATTCTCTCTAGAGTCTCCCAAAGTGGTTATGTGGCCACGTCGCCGCGCCTATTAATGGAACGATCTTTCTCATTTCTCAAACAAATTAAGAACTACATTCGATTTTTATTGACTGAACGCAAGCGCTTATTGCAATAGAAAATACTGTAACGGTTTCACTGATTAAGAAATATTTTTGTTTGCTTGGGTGGTAATATTAGGCCTATTATATTAATAGGGAAGTGGGGCCCAAAGTTTGCTTTGCCTATGTCACGAAAAGAGGTAAATCTGGCCCTGCAGGCTGTGAGGTAACTATAGCCTGTTGGCTTTAAAAAAAGGGACGAGCATGTTATAATGCACCACCTAAACTTAATGTTTAATAAAAAATACATCAAAAATGGGAAAGAAAACTGCAGTTTTATTATGCAGCTGATATAATGAGTCTTCAGCTCATGTGAGTGCGCTCAATATGTTTTACAGTGTACCTTTAAAACAGTTAATTTCTTTTTGTATGTATTTATTTGTCTGTTTGTTTGTAGCTAATATGTATGGAAGGCCAATTCCACCACACAGCGAAAAAAAAAAAAATCATAATTATGACAAAGTCAAAATTATAAAGTACTAGGTAATAATTTTGACATAAAGGGTCAAAAAGTCTCAAAAATTCCATAAAGTAAAAAAAAAAAAGTCATAATTGTGACTTAGTATTTTAGATTTGAATTGTCAATTGTGACTTTATCTCATAATTGTGATTTACGGATGACTTAGTATGTCATTAATTTGAATTTTATTTCATAATTATGAAGTTTGAATTTTTATTTCAAATTGGTGACTTGGTATCTCATTTGTTTTTACTTTCTATTTCAAAATGATGACTTACCTCATCTCATTTTGACTTTTTACATCCTAATTGTGACTTAGTTTCAAATCTTATAATATCAACTTTTTATGTCACAGTTGTCACAATCACTTAGTATCTCATTATTTTTTATGTCATAATTATGACTTAGTATGTCATACTCTTGACTTTTTGATTTATAATTTAGTATATCATAATTACATTTTTTTTATGTCATACATATGACTTTCTATGTACTATGAAGACGTCAGATAGAGGTATATTTCTACAGCAGTGACAGCACAGACATGAATATTGTGAGATATAAACAGTTTCACAGAAGCCGCACACATCTGTTATGTTGCAAAACTGAAATTATGAAATAATTATTTAAAAATAATTTTGCTCTTTAATTAGTATTTGAATGTTCTTTAATACTGATTTGTATTACTAGCAGTTACGTAAAAAGTGATGATAACGGTTCAGTTTCCAAATACTTAGTTGATTTATGTGGCTACTAACAGAGAGACACAAATGGCATTGCATTAGGAGCCCTTGGCAAATGGACACAGATGTGTTTAATGGTGAAGCTGATTGACGGGGCAGCTGAACTTGATCCCGGATGGCTCTGACCCTTTGACAGAGACGACACATGTCATCGTCATGCATTTCACTCAAGGGCTTCGTCGGCTTGCAAACCCCATGCAGTAGCTGTATTTTTCACTGCACAGCATCCAAAACCAATCAGAGGAGCCAATTTGGGAATCATTCGATGTCTTTGTTTTCAGTATTCAGATCTTTTACTTTGTTTTGTTGCATCTAAATCACGTTCTCTCTTCTTGTCCTCTGTCTTCTCGATTTGTGTGGTAGAAGGCAGTTGTCGTAGACTCTGCGTGGGCAAGCATCAGTGTAAACAAGCCTGAAACAATGTTCATACCAGCTAAGCTGACTCATGTCTGACACACAAACACCGTCATCTGGTCACAGAGCTTACTGGAAAACTTACAGGTTAAGACAGAGTTTTGTTTCTGTGACAAGTATGTCTAAAATGGAATTAAAGTGCTGTGTAAGAGACTGAATGTCAGATTCATGATTCACTTTTATTTAGGTAGTCAAAGCATGTTGTAATGCAGGACAGTGAAGATAGGAGACTTGGGGATGTGCTTTTTTTTTAGTTTGGCTAGTAAGCAACAACCCTCCCACCACATAGCAAGATGCTAAAAACATCAACAACGTTGTAGTATTGTGGCTTTGGGTTTTGCACAGGCAATCAGCAGTCATATTTTAGTATTATTTATATACTGCTTAATTATTTACTTATTGTGTAATTTTAGGTGATGTTTTGGTAATTTTATGTGCTTCTCCTTTTTATTCATTTTGTAATATTTCTATTAAGCATTAATTTATTTTTATTTATTTAGGTTTTTTTTTTTATTTTAGTACATCAGCTTAAAATTATTTTGTTTCATTTAGTTAGTTGCAAATGCTACATTTTCATTTAACTTTGAGTTTTTCATCTAATATTCTATTTTTTATTTCCAGCAGCTCACATTTTCTAAAAATCGAATTACTATTATTTTCTTAAAGATATCCATAAACCAGCCAGTCAAAAAAGATTTACTGTGCTGAATGTTTACATTTCCAGAATAAATTATGTAAATAATGGCTTCTTGTGGAGGTTTTAATGCACAAGAACTTGTTCATGTACTTTGTGTTATAACCTTCACCAACATATTTTCTTGATGATTTTGGTGCTTTTCAAATAATTTTTTGTGGTTATTGATGTTGTCCAACCTTGACCAGCAGTTGATCCCGTAGGAGTGAGATTCATCTGTGCACATTTTCTAAAAATGTTATTAAAAAATAATATCTTACTTCACACTTACCTCTGAAAATGACTTTTGGTTTTATCTGACGTCACCACGCAAATCCTAGTGTAATAAAAATATTTTATACTAATTTTAAATCTAGGTATGACCAAGTTGTTTGTTCAAGGTGTCTTTTAGGTCATACAAAACTTACACATGGATATTTATTAAAAGGTGAGCAACCACCATCATGCCTTACTTGCCAAACAAAAATGATTGTGAAGCATATTTCATTAGATTGTACTGTTGTTAATGTAAATAGACAACAGAGGTGTGTTTAACTGATTTATTTAAAAATGTATCACCTGAATGTATTTTATAATTTTTGTCTAGTGTAGATTTGAAATGTCTTTTATAACTTTTTGTTAATTGTATGCCTTGTGTACTGTATTCTGAGATCGCCATGAAAATAGCCTTGGATGCTGGCATGGCGTAAATAAATAAACATCACCACACCATAACATTTAAACTTTTCCAGATGCTACTGTTGAGTTTTTCCCAATGTATAATGTCGAGTCCCACCCTACATTTGTTTTTCTCGCTGAATAGCATTTTTCTCTTGAAATACATCATGCTACAAAAGTAAATTAGGTTGCATATTCCATTTCATGTTGCTTTTAAATAGAGCCCGACCGATATATCGGTTTGCCGATTTTATCGGCAGATATGAGCCTGTCGCAGATATATCGGTACCGATAAGACTTTTTTTTTTACAGAACATAAAACGCAGATAAAATGCTTGTAAATGGTGTAATCACGTAGTTTGTCCAGCAGAGCGCTCCATTGTTTGCTACTGGAGACCTGGATGAAACGCTTTAAAGCTTAAGTGTATGGAATACCATTGAAACTTTGAACGGCCATATCTCTGTAATGGCGCGGCGGATCTGCACCAAATTCGGGGATCCCTTCAGCTCGAGGAACCCTCTCAAACGCCGAATCGAGTGTATGTCTCGAGGCCCCCTTTCGAATGAGACCACCCCCGTGTCGATAGCGAATGCCACCCTCCGCGGCTACCGACGTGCAGCTCACACTTCTCTAGTAAGTTTCGTCTGTGTGTGAAGACAGTAGCACTAATCCATGAATGAATGTTCCGAAGTGAAATAAACTTCAACGGCGCCCCCAAAAACCCATAACGGTCGGGCTCTACTTTTAAAACCTTTTGTTATTACATTTTTGAGTACTCATAATTTAGATCTCTTATTTTGCTGCTTTAACCATATAGCTGACAGTCAGAAGATCCAGTCACACTCTTGACTTTGATGCTCTGTGTACATAATGCTGGACTCCACCGGACCTCGGCGTCTCTGTGGATCTTTTAACACCTTCTCTTGTTAGAGATTCTGCTGCAGGCTGGATTCTGTATGCTGTGCTTCTGCTGCACTTCTGGTCTCTGGTTTTGCCTTTAGTTACGTCTGCACCTCATGTCAACCTGACAGCTGTAAACAAATCCAGTGCTGGAGTAATGTGCATTTTCAGCAGACAGTTTTTGATCTCATTTGCGCTTCTTTTATCTCAAAATGCTTATTTTCTTGTGTTCTCCATGTAATGTTATCAGTTGTCATATTTCATTCCATAAGGATGCATTCATGAATATCCCAGCCTGTCCCTCCATTAAAGGAATAGTTAAACCAAAAAGGAAAATTCTGCGACTGAATCATGTGAATCGTTTGGGAAGACTTGAACTATTCCTTTAACACCCTCTTTTCTGTCATTCTGTTCCAGGTTGATGTTTCTTTGTGTTATTGGTTGCCTTTTTTATTGTTTATTTCTTTTTTATGTGACCTCTTTGTTTTGCAGATGAGGGCAGAAGTGCAGTTGACGCAGCGGGCGGTGCTCAGATAGTTGCCGAGCACATTAAGTCTCTGGCCGAAAGCACTGACCCGGCCACCGGGAAGCTCTTGACTGTCTTTTGTGGCATGCTGATGAACTATAGCAATGATAATGGTAATGACCGATCCCCCAAACCAGGCGATGTTTTTGAATGGTCCCTTATTGGTATAGTCTGAGATGTTCTCTAAATTATTCACATGTTAGTCAATACTACCTAGATAAGGCAACTTTTTTATCTGATTCTCTAAAAAACAGACGTGTTTTGGTTTGAGTCTGACGACAGTATTTCCTCACAGTTGAACATTAACGGTAATATCTGTAGGGGACCACTCTAAGAAAGCCTATGTGTTGTTTAACTTCTCCTATGTATTCTGAATCTAATGTCTTTCACCGATTTGACATGATAAGTTTGCTAAATGGCTACAATCTGCTCCTTGTGTGGTGATTAGCTTCCATGTCCTTTGCAGCTGGTGGTGGTGTTAATGTTTAGTAATGATATGAATTCAGCTGTCTTGCTTTTTTTTTATACTAATCTATAATAAATATAGTTACATTTTGTTACGTGCAGTAGCAAAAAAAATTATTGATTAATTAAATATTAATTTAAAAAATGTTATAAGCTGAATTTTTTTAATTGTTTATTTAAAATGATTTAATTAAAATGTTTTTAATCTAAAAACCTTTTTAAAATATATATTTTGATTTTATTTTCAAAAGTAGCTGTGTATTTGACAAAAAAATTATATACATAAAAAAACATGGCACTGTGCACTTTTTTTGATCAAACATTCACTGACTTGATGTAATTTTACTGGGGATTGGCTTAACAAATAAATCCCTTTAATTGAAGAATCCAACATGCAGGTTGACTACTTCCACAGCTGAATGCTCCTACTGAGCAACTGCCATTGAGATTAATGGAAATTATAACATATAGCTTTCCACCAATTATTTCTTGTTTGGACTGCTTAAACAAACAGAGCGATGTTTTGATTGGCTGTTCACATTAAACTAGGATTTTACCATTTAAAAAATGACACTTCACATTTAAAACAATAGTTCACCCGGGATACATATTTGGGACACATCCTATAGTTTTCAGTGTCCATATCATGCATGCCCAGGAGGTTACATAAGGCCCTGGCCTTGTGCTATTCAGCAGTGCAGTGCATTGTTTAATATTTAAGGGAATGCAGGCAGTGTATTTACATCTTTGTGACTTGATGTCCTTGAATAATTGATGGACAGGCCAAGCCCTGCTTCCCTCATCCCGGTTTGCCGGCAAGGCTTGAAATGGTAATAGCTTTTTTCGATATATTACACCTTGCTTCCAGAGGCTAGTGCAAATCAACAAATTTAGGTCAGGCATTTTTGTTTTCGGTTTCCTGATGAAAATAAATCGTGAGATATGATTTTAATGGAAGAGAACAGCCAGCGGGCTGCTTATTATTGCTGAATATCATCCTCACGCTGTTTTGAACCAGTCTTCTCTTTCCCTCATCTCTCTTTCGCTCAAATGTTGTGTCATGTAACAGATTACTTTTCCTTGCAACGTGTATCTGTTTTAACTTAAAGCCTGTCATCATGTTTACTAAGCCACCAAGATAAATGACTCATCTAATCACATAAACTTATCACTTGGGAGGTTTTATGTACATCTTTCACTGTACTTGCCTGGTCAGATCTTTTTTTTTTGCTTTTTTTTTTTTTAAATATCTTGGCAACCAAAATACTTACTGAACCGTAATGTCTCTCATTGCTGATTCATTCCCTTGTGAAGAAGCAGCACACTTTATCATACTTTTAAAAAGACTATTTATTACAGAAATAATATTCTTTAAAAGGATATACGTAAGTGTGAACTGAATGTAATGCTAATTGCAATAAAATGAAAATATATTATAGTTTAAATTTATATTAAATGCTATTAGCAGAACTTTAGAGTGCTTTTTTAACCCATGTAAGTACATTTTAAAGCCTTATTGCTTTCATTAACACTTAATGAAAACAGCATATTTATGTACTTGTTGAACGTTTTTGCTTCATATCTGTTAGTATAGTCATCTATTTTAGCATGCCTGAGAGGCTATATTGACCACTCAGCATCCAGGGATGGAATTATCCATTTAAATGCATGTGTTTGTGTTATTTATATTGTAAAGAGTAAAGTCACTAATTATTCAGTTATTTGGTATAATCTAGTTTTGCGATGGCTGATTTGTGCTGTTTGTAAACTGTCAGTGTTATAGCTTTCTGCTCTACTGAAAAAGTAAAGTACTTAAAGCATATAAATCTTACATGAGCTTTAGATGAGATGCAAATACTTCACAGTTCTTTTAGGAAACGTGACTCATTCTCAATCAGTGAGATCTGCAGGTCCCCGGTTGACATTTCCTTGACGTGATTTGGGCTTCGATTACTGGCAGGAGTTCCTCAATGATTTCTGGCGAATGTCCAGTTCTGCCAAGGCTTGTTACGTTGTGTTTTCTCATGTGATACATTTAGCCAATAACTGTTGCTCAAATGTTCCTCTTGCTCTCAGACCAGCAAAGCTTCTGTGGTCGATAAAGCAAATAACAAGCAATTATGAAGTAGGGAGGAAGCATTTTGGACTGTCAACTGTTTATTAAATGTGATGAAGGGACTTCTGTTGCATAAATGTTTTAAAGGTTATGTGCTACAATTCTTTGTACCAAACTCTGCTTCCATGGTCTATCATACTCAATAACATTATCTCCTTTTTTAACTGTGGATGTTTTCCTCTGCCTGGGCCGTCTTCTTTAACACAGCTCTCTGCTGTCTCAGCTGCCGTCTCCTCTTTGCTTCGTTGAATTTACTGATCAACATCTGCTTCCTGACAAATTGATGGCACTAGATGTGTGCCGGTGCCGCCCACATCTTTGTGTCTCATCGAGACATTTCTAGACAAACTGAAACATCTTTTCACTGGGTATTTAAGGGCTTACTTGTGCAGCTGTGCACAATATGACTGTTAGTAAACATAAACAAGACATAAAAAGATACATTTAATGAGCTTTAAGATTAAATAAGTAGTGGTTGACTAGTATTGATTTTTATTTATGGCTTATAGCGATATCTTAGAGAGCAGAGGGGCCGATGGGCGATATAAAGCCAATATTAAAATAAGTAGTTTCAGACGATATGTGTTTATTTAGTTTTTATATAGCTGATATGGATATCTTGGAGAGCAGGTTACCAATGAGTGAAATAAGTCGATATTAAAATAAGTAGTTGTCAACCGATATTTATTTATTTATTATGGTTGATACCGATATCTTGGAGAGCAGGGTGGCCAATGAGTGATATAAAGGCGATATTAAAATAAGTAGTTGACTGCCGATATCGATTTTTTTTTAATTTATCGCTGATACAATATCTTAGAGAGCAGGGTGACCAATGGCCCATATAAAGCCAATATTAAAATAAGTAGTTGTCAAACAATATTGATTTTTTTTTAATGGCTGATACCGATATCTTGGAGAGCAGGGTGACCAATGGCCTATATAAAGCTGATGATAAAATAAGTAGTTGTCAACCAGTTTTTTTTTTAATGGCCTATGCCGATATCTTGGAGAACAGGGTGGCCAGTGAGCGATATAAAGCCAGTGTTAAAAATAACGATGTCAACCGATATTGCTTTTTTTTTTTACTCCGTAATCTGGTAAATTTGTGCACACTGGGAATTATATTTTCTCAAATGAAGTCCAGGTAAGACTGATTTTACATGCAGTACACAGTGACATGACATAGTGGCAAATTGTATATAGCACAGCATACAGTCATTTGAAATCATGGAAAGATTACTCTCACAGTTGCGCTCAGATGCTGGCATTTTTAATGCTGTCAAAAAGCTGCTTTTAACACTTATTGGCCAAACTGAAAATTTCTAAGCCGATGCCAGTAATTTAAAAATGCCAAATATCAGTTGATAAATCGGTAATGTATCAGTCAACCACTAAAAATAAGTCAAAATATCAGCCAAATAAAAAAAATTACAGGCTGATGCTAATCATTTAAAAAGGCCAAATATATCGGCCCTGGTAATGTATGTGTTGACCACTAAAATGTCTGCCAAAATTACCAACAAGATATTCTCTATCTACTGGAAAACAAGTGTGGTTGAACCAAGTATTTTCAGTGGTGAAGGACCCGTGTATGTACATGAAATGTGATGGCTAAGCAGTCCTTTGTTCCACTGTGGTCTTGATTTATCTTTCACATTTTAAAGTCAAGACTATATTTTATATAGTCTCAGCAAAGCACTTTACAAAAATGAAATCTCAGAGCAGTATATAATGTGGCTGCATTTTATGTACAGTCTGTAATACTTTGAGATGGTAAATTAACTCTTTCAGCCTCTAGCCTGTTTTCAAACATTGCAGGATATAAACGATGTTGAAATCACTCATAACAAGTGATTAATTTTTGATTACTTTTAACATAATTTAGTTTTAGAAGATTTGCTGAATAAATGAAATCATGTACATAAAAAAAGAAACTTTGATGAGTCATAATTAAAAATAAAATAGTAAAAGTAATATATTTTGGAAAACATAAATGTACACATTAAGCTCTGAGTGGATCAGTGAATTACACCAAAATTAAATTTTTGCATTTTACAATTACACTTTTAGTTCATTAAATATTTTGAATTCAATTTTTTTGAAATTTGAATTTTAATTAATTTCTTTATTTAATTTTATGTGCTTTTGTCATTTTTATTAGTTTTTTTTTATTTATTTATATATAGCTTTAATTCATTTTACATTTTATGTACAGTCTGTAATACTTTGAGATGGTAAATTAACTCTTTCAGCCTCTAGCCTGTTTTCAAACATTGCAGGATATAAACGATGTTGAAATCACTCATAACAAGTGATTAATTTTTGATTACTTTTAACATAATTTAGTTTTAGAAGATTTGCTGAATAAATGAAATCATGTACATAAAAAAAGAAACTTTGATGAGTCATAATTAAAAATAAAATAGTAAAAGTAATATATTTTGGAAAACATAAATGTACACATTAAGCTCTGAGTGGATCAGTGAATTACACCAAAATTAAATTTTTGCATTTTACAATTACACTTTTAGTTCATTAAATATTTTGAATTCAATTTTTTTGAAATTTGAATTTTAATTAATTTCTTTATTTAATTTTATGTGCTTTTGTCATTTTTATTAGTTTTTTTTTTTTTATTTATATATAGCTTTAATTCATTTTAGTTTTAGTAATTTTAATACTTAAAATATTTATTTCTATTAATTCCTATTTATTTCTATTCATTCCTAATTTCTGTTAATTTCTAATTTTTGTTCAAGTGTTTTCATTTTGTTGTTTTTTTTTTCTTTCAATATTTGTATTTCTTAATATTTTATTTAAGCTTTATTTCAGTTACAAAAATTATGTTTAATAATTTTAGTTTCACTTGTAGTTATCGATAACAACACTGATGCAAACTTATTTTTGATGACAGTGGTGGCGGATAGCAAGTGACCACATTTTTATTCATTGTGAAAATCATATTGTTGTGTGTGGCATTTGATATAAATATTTTTAATTTAAAAAAATTGTGTTTGGATAAACTCAGTTTATTGCAATGTAATTGCCAGAAGAATGATGAATACATAATACTTAACCATTCATGTAAATGACTAATATATTATCTATGTTGTCAGAAAAAGATCTGCATGAACCAGAGTAAAGAGAATCTCCTGTTTTGTCTTTCCTCTCTAGACTCGCTGCAGGCTCAGCTGATCAGCATGGGTGTGATCCCCACACTGGTCAGACTGCTGGGAGTTCATTCTCAAAACACTGCGCTCACCGAGATGTGCCTCATTGCCTTTGGCAACCTGGCAGAGCTTGGTGAGTTACCGATTCGATTCAGTCACACTGCCTACTACATATCCAGATTTCCATATATTAAAATACATCAGAACATGTTGGATAAAGCTTGCACGTCTCTTTTGCCTGATCCTCAAACAGAGTCCAGTAAGGAGCAGTTCGCCTCTACTAATATTGCAGAGGAGCTGGTTCGACTCTTCCATAAGCAGGTGGAGCATGAGAAGAAGGAGATGATCTTCGAGGTGTTGGCACCACTCGCTGAGAATGGTGAGAATCGCAGTGATCAACATTAAATAATGATTGAACACTCATGAACCAGTCAGTATAGTGTCTTTTGGGAAAACACTTACAATAAGTACATTACTTCGTGTTTAGCATGGTACCAGGTTATGTCAATGGTGTTATTCTATGAAAGAAAGTGTTTCTGTTTGTGTATTTTTTGATATCCTGGGGAAAAAAAATAATATATATAT